AACTCGTAAATTTTTGTAGATGTTTCAGAACTTCTACAAAGATATCAGAATTAATCCATCCACTTTTATTAGCCACTCCCATACTGCCCTCAGGAGCTCCTTCCATACTGGCTTCTGGAGCGCCCTTAAAATGAACACGAGGAAACACAAATAGAAGAGGGATTGTGTTTCCACTTGCTGATATGATAGCTCCAAATGTAAGTTCTCCTCTCTCGGCAGATACTAATTGGCCCACTTGTTTTTGCGTTTTTTCTGCCATAATTTTAGGTGTATTTGGTACGGTCGATGTTCCGGACTCATCTACATTGAAAATCCTATCTGAAAAAAATGTATATCTATTGTAAAGTGATTCTAGATTTTTGTAGAATTCGTTCACAGCTTTTTTATTAAGACGAAAGGACCTGGCAGCACTCGTGTTCTCTGGCTTTCTTAAACTTAAATTTTCATTGCGTTTCCGAAAACCATGCACCCAATCTTTCCCCGTCATCTTATTCTGATCCCAACTTTACGGATGTGCAATATTGTTGGTTGTTGCAAACTCGTAAGCCAATTTCCTGACTTGTGTTAATGTTAACCCATAATGCTTTTTTGAGCATATCACAATATATTCATTTAAAAGAGATTCCTCCTCTTTGGAAAATACTTCTGTTGATGTATATTTTGAATTGAAGGTGCGTTGTGTATTTTCATCTACATCAAGTTTACTTCTAATTTTTTTTTATGCGACTTTGTAGAGTTGTTGCCTTAATATTATATTTATCTGCTGCTGTCCTGTAAGACAACTGGCCTTCCATTACTTCATGAACGGCTAAGGACTCTTCATCCACTTCACTATTTCTTGTACCCTTCTTTTCATACTTTTTTCATAGTTCTGTAAAAAAAAATTGGAAATGTATTGACATAAAACGGGTAGATTCGTACACGTACGAATCTACCCCTTATGAATGTGTATGAATCTGCCCCAAAACGAACTGATTGTTTGCTAATTTTATACAGAAAAACTTGTTACAAATACATGCAAATTTGATGTTATACCACATTAACTTACCCAAAAAAATATTTCGTCTTGATCACAAATAAATTTGAAGATTTATGGGACTTTGTAAACTACTTAATCTAAGTTACTCATGCACCGCTGAAACACATTCAATGCTCTGGGCGACTGAAGTGAAATGACGTCTACTGATCGTTGACTGTAAGAACTATGTATTGTACCCCAACTACTCGCGATTGCGCGCTATATATGATCAGTGGCGGTGTTTTACGAACGTGCCCCGTGTACGAAGGGTGTCCACTTTCACCTAGGTACTTTGAAACATACTGTACATGACTATTTTGGGTCCGCTGACACTTAAAAATTGTTTTTTTACCTTAAAATCATCAAATTGTGTTGTCCAGTCTCCACCATAAAAAAATGAATAAACTCATTTCAATTGATTTCTGGTTGTACGCATGGCTAAACAACAATATTAGACTGTCCATATAGCAATAAACCATTTAAAGTAATTTCGTAAACATTTATAATTCTTTACTTTTTGGTTTTTACAATTTTGAAATAAAAATAATATGAAATACTTTTCTTTATGGATAATGTGACAATTGATATTTCTATTTCTATAAATCCGAGGTTACCAATCATAGTAAGAAAACGTATGACAGGAATAACAATAGCTCCAGGTCATACAGCATAGCCGAAAAATCAGATCGAAGCCAGAGAAAGGTTGAAAAAAGTTCACGGGTTGTGAAGCAATCCGCTCCAGGCCGTATGTATCTAGGCCATGCAGCTAAGCAACCCGTAATTGCCGTGTTTAGGCCGTATAACGTAGCCGTACCGAACCGTTGCTTGAGCAATCACTTAAAATTAAATGGCTCCAGGCCGCATAGGTTAGGTAAATAAGTCAATTTTTTTTATATTCTATGTGTGCGATAGTTAAAGGTGCTGTGTATTTCAGAAGCTATTTTATACAATTTTTCGGATATCGAAAGTCGCATTTTTTGATGGCCCGAAACAACGCAGAACACAGATAAAAATGACAAATAACATGTTTGAATTAATATGGCAACACTGTATTTTTAGATGTTTTTCTAACAACAGACGAGAGTAGATAAAATGTCACTCCGATATCACCAATAGTTTTAAAATTTAAAAAAATATTGTATAGTTTATTGGGGTGTTTATTAAGTACTTGTACAAACTTTAAATAGTTAATCTTTGACTAATTTTAAGGCAAAAAGTTCATATGAACACGTGTCCTAAACCTCTTAACTTTTGTGCTACAGGGTGGTAAAGTTTTCAGAAAAAAATCAATTTTTTCCAATAACTGTGAGACTATTGTAGATATCTTTACGAAATTTGGTACACGTATACTATGCATTAAGATGCATTTTTTGATGTACAAATTTATGTTTTCTACCAGTGGCGTCCATACCTACGGGGTTTGTATTGAATATTTTTGCAGAAAAAAATAGTATACTACTGCTTCATCTTAAAGCAAAAATTATTTTTGAAATCCTCATTTATTTTTAAATAAATTTAATCTCTTGAGTTTTTTCGTTCGATGCATAGTTTACGCTTTAAAAAATAAAATCCGTTTTATTTCAGAGTCAAATTGCTAAAATGTACAATTGTACATACATGCATAGCAAGCCTTGCAAACAACCGAGAGGTTTCCATGGTAGCGGAATCAGTCATGACAGTTTATTTAAAAAAAAAAGATCATGGTTTTTGTCATTTAAAAATGTATGTATGTATGTATGTAATAATTTATTGTCTAGTATTGTGTTCAAAATGTACGAATATACCAATGCAGAAATGGCAGACATTCATGTCGTCTACGGAATGGCTCACGGTAATGCACAAGCTGCAAAAAGAATGTATCAAGCCCGATTTCCTCAACGGGTGGTTCCACATGTCCAAACTTTCATTAATATTTACGCAAGACTTTGTGAAACTGGCAGCTTTAAAAGAGCAATTGATTTAACAGGAAGTCCTACGACAGTTCGAACAGTTGAAATTGAAGAAGCTGTGTTAAATAGAATTGAAGAAGACCCGCAAACTAGTACAAGGAAAATTGCTCATGAATTGAATATTACGCATACAATTGTGTGGCAAATTTTAAAATCTCAACAACTTTATCCTTATCATATTCAACGTGTACAGGCATTACTACCTAGAGATTTTCCTCTCAGAGTAGATTTCTGCGTTTGGCTGCGAAATAAATTATTAACAACCCCGGATGTCTTAGGCCATGTACTTGTTACAGACGAAGCTTCTTTTTCTCGAAACGCCATCATGAACTTCCACAACAACCATATCTGGTCTGAGGATAATCCCAATGCTATCATAGAAAATAATTTCCAAGATCGTTTTTCTCTAAATATTTGGGTCGGAATTATCGGGGATCACCTTATTGGACCTTGCATTCTTCCACAAAGGCTAAATGGCGAAAAATCTTCTGTATAGATTTTTGGAGCACGAGCTTCCTGAACATTTAGAAGAAATTGATTTGGCTACCAGAAACAGGATGTGGTTCATGCACGATGGCGCACCGGCACACTTTTGTTTGGCAGCACGTCAATTTCTGAACCAGATTTAAACCTTTTGGATTTTTTCTGTGGGGTCACTTAAAGACACTAGTTTACAAAACATCCGTTCAAAATGAGCAAGATCTAAAAAACAGGATATTTGAATCGTGTGCCATTATTAATCAAGACACCAGGTGTATTCGAAAGAGTACGTCAATCAATGTTAAGGCGAATTGACGCATGCGTTGCAGTAGGCGGTGGGCATTTTCAGCAATTGTTGTAAATGTTATTAACTTATTTGTAAAAGTAGTTTAGTCTTAGTCTGTAAATAATCTAAGTTTATCACATAAAAATATTGATCAATAAAAGACACATTTTTCACTTGTTCCATACAGAATACTATGCGTCGGACGAAAACTATGCGTCGGAGAAAAAAACTCATCAGACCAAATTTGCTCAAAACTAAATGAGGATTGCAAAAATATTTGTTATTTTAAGATGAAGCAGTGGCGTACTATTTGTTTCGGCAAAAATATTTAATACGAAACCCGTACGGGCGCCACTGGTAGAAATAATAAAATTATTTGTACATTAAAAAATGCATCATAATGCGTAGGAGACGTGTACCAAATTTTGTAAAAATATCTGCAATATTCTTAGTTATTAGAAAAAAAAAATTTTTTTTCTGAAAACTTAACCACCCTGTAGCTAAAAAGTTAAGAGGTTTAGGACATGTGTTCATATGAACGTTTTGCCTTAAAATAAGTCAAAGATTCACCATTTAAAGTTTGTACAAGTACTTAATAAACACCCTGTATATAGTCTAATATTGTTATTTGGTAGTTTTTACTACACGAAATCAATCAAAATTATGTAATTCGAGTCATTTTAAGATCAAGATTTAAGGTAAAAAAATACTTATTTTTAAACGTTTCCAGGGCGGAAAAATTATTCAAAAATGTGTTTTACTTAATTGTTTAAAATGGTTACAAATTAAAAACAAAAATTTGTCCCGTTAACGTTTTGGCATATTTTTCCCAGATCTTGTCCAACTGAAGAAAAAATAAAACGTGACAATAAATGTAGAAAGGAAATAAATTCGAATGCTCAATTTAAAAATAAAACAAACAGTATTTTAGTTTTCCACATTTTTGTTTTATTTTATTTTTAAATATGTTGTACACTCAAGATTAAATTTTTTTTAATACTTAGGTGCATTATTAAGGAATTCATCAAACTAAGTGAAAAATTACTAGTAACAAAATATGAATATTTTTGTACATTATACTATGAGGAGAGCGATATTATTCTACACAGGGTGATCAAAAGCATAATTCGAATATTTTGTTCTCTTTGAAAGAAAAAATATATATTTTACTATCAATATTAAAAAAGAACCACTGGCATTTTTATTTGAAGGAAACTTAATCACTTTTATTTCTAGAACTACTTATTAAATATTAATTTCCAATTACCTTTATCGTAACAAGAAGAATTGATAAGCGAAGGTTTTTCCTCCACTTCACTATTTTTCTCTACGACTCTACCTGAAATCGGACTATATATTTCGCTAGCTGCCTTTACACTTTCTAAAGCTCCACATTCGTCTGAAATTAAGAAAATCATTGATTTGTTGGTAAAAAATAAAACTGTACCTATAGTCCAATCATTAGAGACACATAAACAAAATTGATTTGACTACAAAAGGTGTGGTCACCTAAAATATTCTAATGACAGGACTACTGTTTTTACTGTTTGTACCTTTTTGTTTTAGGTCTGTATCTACATCAGGTAATTGTGCATACACGACATCGCCCAAAGCTTCCTAAAACAAAAACAAATTATTTGAATTCTACATAATCAAATAGCGACAAAAAATTATTTCTTGGTTAAATCTTTAAATTGGACAATGTATTTATTTGTACTCTAACTAATCAGGCATTAGATCGATTAGCCGGTGTACTCAGTTGCCCAACAACTCATTTTCCAGACAGGTGCCCTTTCCCGACAACTAATAATGTCTAATAATAAGAGCATGAAAATAATTAAATCCTTGAAGCATCAAAATGTATCCTAAGCATTTTTGATGTGCAAAGATAAAACCAAGTAATTGATTTAATTGAAAAACTCTGCATTGTGGAAGGTATGCAAACACCGTATTTATAGCTGGACTTTCGGAACCAAAAGAAACATATTTACAAATGTTAGGCTACAACAAAAGAAAAATGATTCTTAAGGATTCATTATATTAAAAGCAAACTCGTGACACGCCAGCGAAAATTATTCAAGAGAAAACCATTTCGTTCGGGAACACACTCAATCTTATTGCTCAACGGAATTATTTGAGTTATTAAATTCCAAACCTAAAAATAAAAAGTCATGCGGTGCAGATTATATACCAAACTTTTTGATCAAGAGAGTTATAGATGAAATTTTATTTCCATTATCTAATAAATGTCATTTCAAAGTAGTTGTTTCCCAACCAAATTAAAAATGGGTAGTTTTACCGATATTTAAAAAGAAGATCCAAAATCTTCAGAAAATTATCGGCCTGTTGCCGTTCCCTGTGGTTTTTCTAAATTTTTTGAATATTCTTTCCTAATCCATTTTCTAAGCTTTTAAAATGCAGTTAATATCAAACTGATAATCAACATGCTTTTCGTACCGGTAAATCAACAAGTACCGCCATAGTCGAAACATCCGGGGGAAAGGTACTTTATAGGATGGCGTTTTTTTACATTGAGGAATATCTGTTACTTACGATTGAAGAAGAAAATTCTTCAAATGAAAGTTGTTTAAGAAACCATTCTTTATCATTTTTGTTTTATACCATTATATCTCTAAAATGGAGCATGATGAAAATTTTTTAGAAAAAGTGTAAACTTTAAATTTTGTAGTATTTTCGTTGACAATTTTTATACAAAAAAATGTTTCGAGTAAGATGTGCATGGTGTTACGTTGTAATCGTCACTCCCTTTTAATAATTACAATATTTAATTAGTTCAAATATTCCAATATATTCTAATACTTTTTGAGTGCCCCTCGTATTTGGAAATATGGATATATTAATTCGGGGAAATTGTCTCTGTCTAAAAATCAATAATTACTGTCAGGGGTTGTGCGCACGCCTGGCCACCTGTTGCTTATTTCTTTTCAATTTTGCAACGAAATAAACTGGTTGGTTTAGTGTTGTTAAGTGTTTCCGAACTAACTAAGGTAACAGAACCATTTTTTTTTTATAATGAATGGTAGAAATTAATTTTATTATGTGTGTATCCTCGTGAAATTATCTTTGAGTTATTTCATTCATTAATAGCGAGGTTTTCGCGTAGTATAAGTTCCATGCAATGTACAAAATGGCTGCCATTAATTTTATATTTTTTTTCTCAGTTATTTAAAAAAATCTTTCCATTCTTCATGTATTTTAATTTAAATACTATTGCAAATCTCTATTATTGTTGTAAACTTGAAATGTTCAATTTAAAAATGTTTAATTTAAATAGTAAGCTTTTATGGCTGACCACACAATTTTTTTTTTGAAGCAATGGAAAGATACGGTTTTTTTGTTGTAACTGACACGTTTTTCTTTCTTAAAAAATTAAGGAACTGGCCCTGTAAGGACTGTAAGGAACTGGCCCAGTAAGGAACATTTGATAACTAAGAACTCGTAGAACATGTCTAGAAAATCATCGTAGGCTGAGCTACATCTAGAACTGCAGAATGTCTAGAAAGTCATCGTAGGCTGAGCTACATCTAGAGAGCGACACAGACCAGTTCAACCGTTGAAATCCAGAAACACACAAGATAAGTGTCGGCCAGAACCACACACAATTATTGAGTCAAAGTTCATACTAGTCAATTTTAATTTTAAACGTATTATCTAGTCAAATAAATTAAAGCCGATTAATTTGTTAAAATCAATAAATTTCATTTTTCTTTCTTATTTGTTAATATCACTCATTAACTAATTTAGTTTAAGTTAAAGCCGATTAATTGTTTTGAAATTTAAGTTCTTTTATTTTCCTTACTTTCAACTGACAAGTTAATGGCAAATTTACTTTTATTGTAGATCTAAAGGTATGGCGCCCAAATTAATTTAATTGAATTCTTTTAAGTCTTTTTAATTAAAGACCTTGCCATTGATTTGAAGGTAAATTCTAAACGATTCCCACTCACCCATTTTGATCTGAGCTAGGCCTGAGGCTTGTAAGAATTCTTATTATAAGGATTTTTACAATGAGACCCAGGTAAGGGTTAAAAAGTTAACGTATCATCTGGTGTAAAATATGTTTTTAAAACGTAACATTGAAACGTAACAATGGAAAATGTACGTATTTAGTTCTTCCTCTAAGCATTTACAGGGGTGATAGAATAACCGGACAGGAAAGTCATACGTTGGACACATCAGATTTTTTCCTTCATTTGTTATAAAAAAGGCCGTACAAAAAAGATAACCTCCGTTATAAGACAATTCATATTAGCATTAATTATTTTTTCAGGGATTCCCAAACTATTTTAAGCAAGATATCCCTTTGCCAAATTACTTTGAAACTCCTATCTCTAGTTTTTTCCTATTGATACAAAATACTTACAAATTTAAAAACTTTGCGATTGGCTAAATGAGTAAACTTGACATCATTTTCTCATCAAAATGTAACAAAATAAATAGACATAAAATTCAGTAAATATCAAGTGTAATTAATAATTATTTATACAAAATCGCAAAGTTCAGATAAAAAATAAAAAAATCTAGCTAAATCTGGTTCAATATTGGTTAGTTGATTTTCAAACAGTTTCTTTGTTTTGTCAAAATGTTTGTAATCACACTAAAGCCTTTTTCGACTAGGTATGATGATGGAAAAGCGATAAGGTATTTTTCAGCAATGTTCCACAATTCAGGATACTGTGTTTCAATGTTGCGCTGCAACCAGAACTTCTGATAGCCTTGGTTGAACTTCTGCTTTAGTTCCTCGTCTGTGCTGATGGTGATCAACTCTTCTTGTATTCACATTGGCTTCTTCCATGGCTCTGATATTGTACGGATTTATTATCAATTGAGGAATTTGTAAATTTCAGAGATCCTCAAACTATTTAGTAAAATCCTTGTGTAATGCGCCCAAGTGAGTGACACATACAAAAAATATACAATACTGTTGAATCAAAATTTTCTCTTGGCAGCAGGTGGTTTTTGTGACGCGACAATTATGATGCTTTGCATCTCATGAATTAAAGCTAATTCTCTTTCAATCTTAAGGTGATCATACCCCTTATAATTTTCGGACAAGAATAACTCAAAATATTTAAATTTTGGCAAAATAAATTAGGCAATAATATCTATAACATGCATATATTTTAATGTTTTAATTTCTTCCAGTTTCCCAAAAAACACTAAAAGGGCTTTAATTTTGAAATATAATAATGAATATAAATGCATTCCTCAACAGCACTATTCTTAATTTAATCCCCAAATTTAAGCTCCTAATATCTTGTTAATGATTTCTTAAAATTCGCCAAAATTAGTGGTTAAAACGCTTCGTAAAGTGCTATCTTCTGGTGTAAACTGGTGTAAATTATTGCAAGAAACGAATAATGACAGAGTGTACGATACGATAGTTACAAGCGCGTTACACCCGAAGGCAGCACATAACGAGGCGTTTTAGCCACTAATTTTGGCGAATTTTAAAAAATCATTACCAAGACATTAAGAGTTTAAATTTCGGGATTATATTAAGAATAGTGCTGTTGAAGAATGCATTTATTTTCATTATCATATTTGATTTTTTTCCCCGGAAACTGAAAGGAATTAAAACTTTAAAATATATATAGTTAATATTTCCTAATTTATTTTGCCAAAATTTTAATTTTTAAACAAAATTACTTTTTGAAATATCCTGGTCCGAAAATTATAAAGGCTGCTGCATTCACCTTAATATTCCAACATACAGGGTGTTTCAAAATTCATGGGACAAATTTCAGGAGGTGACTGCTCGTATGAAATTAAGATGGGTGTTTCCTATAATAAAATTTCCTCAGCCCACCCATTTCCGAGATATCACCCTTAAGAGGTGGTGACTAAAATTGAGTTTCTATTTTTTTTCTTAAATTTCAGTTAAGCTAGAAACTTGAAATTCTGCAATTTTCGTGCACTCGCAAAGGACTAACCACGGTTATTGTTTCAATTTTCCTGTTACATTATTTCATATCAAAACTTTTTTTCGAGATGAAGTTTTATGAAATAATTTTGTAACTTGAAATACTTGTTTTATTTAAAAAATTTTTCCCAAAACCAATACCTTCATGGAAAAAAAAACTGTTTTCCACTCAATTTATTTAAAAAAATGATAAATTAGAGTGTTAATTTTTTTCTCTGAAGCTAGTGGTTTTGGGAAAAAAATTCAAGAATAAAAAAAAATTAAATAAAACAAGGATTTCATAAAAGTTCATCTCGAAAAAAAGTTCCGATTTGAAATAAAGTAAGTGTTGCTAATTTCACCTCCCTATAATGTAACAGATATATTGAAAAATACTCGTGGTTAGTCCTTTGCGATTACAGAATTTCAAGTTTCTAGCTTTACTGAAATTTTAGAAAAAAAATAAAAACTCAGTTTTAGTCACCACCTTTTAAGGGTGATATCTCGAAAAGGGGTGGGCTGAGGAAATTTTGTTATAGGAAAGACCCATCTTAATTTCATACAAGCAATCAGTTCCTGAATTTTGTCGCATGTATTTAGAAACACCCTGTATATTACACATTTTTTTAAGCGGGCAAAATTCTTGACAGTCTCTTTTCCCTAATTGGCACATGTCGTATTTCTCTACGATTTA